TTAAGAGGCCTACCTAGCTGGCGAAAAATTCGAAACGAGATTCGCTCGTGAACACGCTTAATGCGGCAACACCGCTCCATGTGTACTCGATCGGGCTGGCGCGCCAGGCCGATGGCGACTAGGACTGTCCGATTGTCGGTAAGCGGAGGGTTTGACCATACACTAACTCTGCGGGGGAACAACCTAGATCTCCTTTAAGTGAAGGTCTAAGGCCCAATAGCATAATTGAGAGGGCGTTGTTCCACCTATATACGTCTACAGGCGTTCCTAACAATCTATTGAAATTGCGAAATAATCGGTACTCGAATTGCCTTCCTTGGTCGTGTGTGATACTGTGTGGTATACCAAATCTTGCAAAATGTTCATCAGGTATTGGGTACGCTTCGGACTATCTAGTGAAGCGATTTACGACTGTTAGTACAAAAGAACAGCCTAATGAAGGAGTAAAAGGACCTATTAGATCTGTGTGTATATGTTCGAACCTACCAGTAGGTAGATTAAATTTCTGACGTGAAGAAAATCTTCAACGTGTATCTTTGGATTTTAGTTTTCTGGCAAGGTATGCAAGTTTTACACCATGATTTTACTTGCTTGGTTAAATGTGGCCAAAAGAAACGATTTTTNTATTATCCAAGCTATTAAATGATGTTGTCAAAGTTATAGCTCATCGTCTAAGTTTCTGAGATAGCGGGAACTTTATGTTTCTCAATGGCAGTTACGCCCCCTAACGGTCGAATTACGAATTTCAAAATAATTTCCAGCTATTTCTCTTGGTCACTTTGCTTATAAGGATTTTTTCCCAAACCTCTAGGACTTACCGTTGTAGAGATACAGCCGCTCCGTACGCTTAACGGGACACCCTGTATTTTTAAAAAAACAAGGTCCCTAAATCTTTTTGTTTGACGAAGGAAAAATATATCGTGGCATCTTGGATTTAGGAAATGGATTTTGTAGACATGACGCTACAAATACTCCCCCTTCCAAGAAGAAATAAGGTTAACAAGGAAATGTAAATCAAGTAGTTATAAATATTTTAATTTTGAAAACGTATTCTTAAAGATTTATTTGGAATTGAATTTTGATTAGAAGCAATTTCAAGTTTGTAGTTAGCTATAAAAAAAAAATTCATAAAATGTACATTTGACGCCACTGTATTTTTCTTATGTAGTTTCACA